AGACAAAAATCTAATGCATGATTCGTTGAATATCGTATTCGACTATTGGGATAGACAAAAAATCTAATGCATTCCCCAAATTGGGCAAACTATTTTTGGACGACTTTATAATTTTAGGGTAAAGTACATAAATGGTCTCCAACAATATGGCACCTCTTTGTTGAGTCTCTTGATTATTAAAAGTTACAGAATAGTCTCTGACTATAAATCGCTATTTTATTGAGTCACATTACTATTAAAAACTCGTCATTACTATTAAAAGTTACAGAATAGTCTCTGACTATAAATCGCTATTTTATTAATTTTACAAAATGATCACATTACTATTAAAAGTCACATTTTGACTGAGATATGATAAAATTTGACCACATAATCGTTTGAGCTATATTTTGTTGATCAACTCTCCGTTTACATTATGACATCGAGCCAGCGTTTGAAATATTATATTGTCGAGTTAATGTTTAAAAGCAGCGGCGATGCTAGTATACTTCATTAAAATATGATTTTATCATATTTCAGTCAATAAGTTAACATCTAATGTAAATGACCGTCAAAATTTTAACAGAAAAAGACGAGTTTGGAACATATGAATAATCGGGTGACCATTTTGTAACTTTTAATAGTCATGTGACTCAACAAACCAATACCATATAGTCGGAGGATCATTCTATAACTTTTAAAAATCAAGGAACTCAATAAAGCATTATCCATCTATTGATCGATTATTCCAGATTGGGTACTGCAAAGGCAAGGGCAACCCTCTTAACCCAGTCTGATCCATTCACAAACGTTAGGGTTTAAACTCCTAACATTTCTTAAGAAATCTAGTGTCTCATCCCACTAGATCAATTGGTTGTTAGTTTTGGACAATATATTTTAATAAAAGATCTAAAAGATAATTTAGCCGTCGAACTTATTATTTTTAACTTAAAAATTAGAAAATGGGCAAAAAAATTACTTGTAGATAACAACCTCTAATGACCCTTGAGATGTTAGGATTTATTTTTATTGAATAGTTTAAAATGATTATAAGATAATATTTATTCAGAATATTTTTAGTTATTGATAATGTATATATCCAACATACATCACTACTTGAACTTGAGGGCTCTAGAAGAACAATACATATTTTAACCATTAAGATTGTTTGATAAGTTCGAGTCGATAAGATTAAGAACTCACTTGACTGTGACATGATATATCTTAAAGTTAGTTTGTACTATAATTAATCAAAATAATACAATTTAAATCATAACAAATTATCAATTTCACAGTAAATTTTGCAGAACATAAATTAAATTGAAAAAACAAATTTCACCAACTTTGTAAAGGAAACAGAAAAGGAAAAAGAAGGGGAAATTTTAGCAAATTATATATATATGATGAAGAAGAAAACAAAGATAAAGATTTATTTAATTTTGGATAGACTAGTAAATTCAATGATGAAGAAGAAAAACAATTTGGAAAGGTTGACGAATAATGATAGGAAATTATAAGAAATATAAAATTCAGAATCCACTTAGCAATCTCATTAGTTAAATGGAGTGTTGTTTTTCTTAGAGATCTTAAGTTCGAACAATTATGTTTGCCTGATGTGTTTATGTTATCAATGACTAAGAAATAATATAAACATATACTACCTTATAATCATCACAGACTATTAAAATACAAAAAAGAAAATTAATTATATTTGTGCATGGAATTCCGAGTATGGGGAAATGGAATTCCAATTTTAAAAACCTTTTCTTCTATACAATTCATTCTTAGCTTCATTCGACCACAAGACTGTCCTAATTCCGAGTTCGGAGTACGGGGAAATGAAATTTCAATTTAAAAGCATGATCAATAAAAATTGTTGTTGATTATCATATTATATGATAATCAATAAAAATATTCAAGGGTCAGAAGAGAGGTAGTAGAAGTTGAAAAAAAAGGGTTAAAATGATCAAATTTGTAAAGTTAGGAGATCAAAAGGTCATTCTACCTTTCTGTTTTTGGTTACTTGCATTCTTTGGTTGAATAATATCCCGTATCCTATTGAGTTTTACGACTCCACTTGATTGGAAAATTATTGACCAAATTGTTAATACCGAATTTTTATAATTTCTTGCCACTATTCCAATTATTGACGAAATTGGATAAAGGTTTATTTTGTTGATATTTACAAGAAGTCAATGAAAGACAGGACATGTCCCAAGATCGAGTTAGTTGAAGGCTGCTGTCTTATTTACTGCTCTGTCTTTATTTTCAGTACCTTTTTTATCTATTAATATTATTATGACTTTTGACATAGGTAAAATCCGATCCCATGCAGTTGAAAAATCTAACAAAAGAGTAATTACATTTGATTAGTTAGTTAAATTATTTATTTTTATTTTTTTGTATTTTCTTATATTACGTGTTTTAAATCTATTAAAACATTCCCCTTCTTTCTCTTATAGTCAGCTTCTCTTTCTTTTTAAGTAGAATTAAATTTAAAATTTATCAACAAAAAAAAAACACAAACTCCCCCTCTCAGAACAAGTACAATATCAATAATGTATGGTATTAATTTCCTACATTTATTAATCGAAAACGAATTTAAAAAAAAACCGGCAAGATGGGTCAGAAAGCTTTCATGCTTTTTTTTAAATAATATAAAATATATACCAGTTTTTTTTCTTTCTTTTTTTCGAGTTGTCCTCCCCTGTTCTAAGAATCTGTCCTGATTAATCTAGATCGGCATGTGTTGCACGCCAGGTTTTAGTAGATGAATATTTAAACGGAGATTTTCTACATACACAAAACCTTAAACTCAAATCTTACTTAAACAATATCAAACATCTTATCACTGATTCAACTCGTTGATTGAATACATATCAGTTTTCTAACTTCAATTATTGTGTTCTTTTAGTTTAATTTATAGTGGATAGGATACGGATGGGATACCGTGTATAGTGAGGGGTCATTTATTGAATTATCGAAATGATTTTACATTTTAAATAAATCTTACTATTATTTTTCCTAAATACAAATATATTTATTATTATGGTTCTGAGAATGATTATATAGTAGGAAATATTTTAGGTTTAGTCTATATTAGATTGTAATTCTTATCGTAGGTTCTCTACTTTGTACAAGGATAATTTTTATTATATGTTCTTCTACTATATGTATAAAGTAATTCTTTATTGAACGTAGAAGTGGATGTGAAGTTACGAGGAACATACACATGTTTAGTGATTGAATGAGGGTAGTGGTTATGATTTTACAACCTATATTTCGAACAATTTTTATGATGTCTTTAATCTTTATATGTTTTTTTGACACTTTAAGCACACTCGGCTATCTAATTCAACCCTTGAATTTGCCTTTTTCAAATATTACAAGACTACATGTTTTTAAAATTACATTCATAACTAAGGGATACAAATAAATTTAACTCACATTTTTTAATTTCAAAAAGTTATTACATCACATAATTTTCTAAAAATGTATTAATTTTGATTGATGTTATGGTACTTTAACCTTCTACACACGTAATCGACTATTGAATTTAATTTTATTCTAGTTGTTATTATAGATTTCCAAAATTATAATTTTCAAAGAGAATTATTCAAAATAATTTTTTAAAAGAGTGAATTTATAGATGTTAGATCATACTAAGCCTAAAATAATCGGTTGTGACTCTAATTTTACTAAAATACAAGTATTTTATAATAAAATATTTTTTTTAATAAAAAAAAGGATTTCGACAATTATTTAATCGACTATGACTCCATTTCTCTTTTTCATCTTGATTCAGCCCTTATAGAGGATAATTGTTAAGTTACTTCTAGAAATTTTCTAGCAGTATATATTTTTAGGATTAGACTTTTAATAAAATGTTTAATTTAATTTCTCTATTTAAAACATGTTCTAATATAAATATTCTAACAAAATATTACTCCCACAATATTACATTCCCAAAATTTCATCTTGATTGTATAGGTTGCAATTCATATTATCCCAACTATACTTTTAATAATTCTCCTAGTTTTTTCTCCTACTTTTCTCACATTGATAAGTTGTTCATCTATTTTTCTTTTTATTTTTATTGATCGACGGTAGCACTAATTTTATTGTTGGTTGCCGACCACCGGTATTATTTATTATCCTTTTATTTTTTTATTTTTATTTTTTTATTTTCAATAAATCTTGCACGTACGTGGCTTTTAATACAGACAGACAAGTCTCCAACGTGAAACATTCCAAAATAAAAAAATAAAAAAATAAACTATTTATTTTAGTCACTCAATTATCGCTTTAGTTAGGTTTTGGTCATCATACTATTTTTTAAATGACCATCACTTATTTATGAAATTAGTACCGATATAATCATCATACTTTAAATTTTGATAATATGACCACATAACAATTTAAGTGGTTTCAATGTAGTCACCTACTGTTACAAAACAAACAGCGTATCTAATGTGGTTGTTATTGCTTAACAGTGAGCCAGAGGTCCACATTAGCTATACTATTTGTTTTGTAGTAGCAAGTGGTTATATTGAAACCATTTAAATAGTTATGCGGTCATATTATTAAAATTGAAAGTATGATGATCATATCGACACTAACTCTATAATTAAGTGGTCATTTGAGTAGTTTACCTTTTTTAAAAAATTATACATAATGTTATATTTTGATTTGGTTTTGGTCATATACCGTTAAAAATAAACAAAATTATTGACGTGACTATTTTTTTAAATTTTTTCAATAATGACATAGCATACCTTATGGTAATATGTAAACATTACCATTAATTTTTTTAATGGAACCAAAACATTAATTAGGTATGATTTTGAAAAAACAATTTAGTGACTAAAATAGAAAAAAGTAATAGTTGGGTGAATAATCGTGTTTTAACTTGTTAGGCGGTCAGCCTGTTCAAAGAAACACACTTGGTTTCTCTTTCGTTTTCCTTATAAAATTCCTTTTTTTGCTGTTACCTTCGCTACTTTCCAATCTGTCAACAACCAGAGAAAGAGAAGAAAAAAAATGATTGTGCGATACGCGTTATGTTTGACTTTCTTACTTCTGCTAATCACAAATCCAGCATCATCATCAGCAAATTCCAGTGCCTTGTCCGGTTGTAAACAAAGCTGTGGGAATGTTACAGTTCCCTACCCTTTTGGGTTCGGATCAAATTGTTCCTTGAATTCATGGTTCGAGGTCTCTTGCAATGAAACCTCAACAACAACTCCCACAGTCCTACTCAAGAGAATAAACATGGAGGTCCTGAATTTCTCGTTGAGATCGTCTGATTACGATTCGGATCTCGAATACCACCGTGTGAAGGCTCCGGCAGTTTCGGTGAACTGTTCGGGCAGGGAAGCGAGCCATGGGGTAAACTTAAATGACAGCCCTTACTTCTTTTCAGAGTTCCGGAACAAGATTGTATCGTGTACCGGTGGTGCGGTCTTCGGTCGTAATCTTAGCAACACTTGCTACGATGGTACGTGCTGTGAGACCGTGATGACATCGTATCTCAAGTCGTTTAATGCGACGTTCGGTAGCAGATCGGATGGGTGCAACTCGGCTTACTTGGTAGAACAAAATTGGAGGGACTCGAATTCGGGTAATAGATCAGTTGGCACCGTTCTTGATTGGGCAATACCCGAAGAGGATTTCGTGTTGAGCAAAACCGGAAAAGAATATAGTTGTCGGCAGTATGGTTTGATTACTGAAGAGCCTTATCTCAACAAATCAATTCGATGTTATTGTAACAAGGGTTATCGAGGGAACGCATATCTTCCTAATGGATGCGAAGGTAAAATAAATCACTCATCTTTCCATTCTAATTTTTTAGTTAATTCATCATATGTTATCAAATTATGACTCTCATCTCAAATTAATCCTTAAATTTTTTAATATTTCAATCATTCTTAAATTATGACTCTCATTCTAAATTAATTCTCAAAGTTTTGAATATTCTAATTTTTATACTCAAACTATGACCCTATTTCTAAATTGGCTCAAAATTTTGAATCTTCCAATTTTATTCCTAAATTCATCCAAATATGTAATTAGTTTCAACCATGAAAATTTTAGTTTTTTCGAACATATACTAATATAACTTAATGATTTTATTAACAATGAATGTGATTAACATATACCTATAGTTTGGGATGAAATTAATATGTTCAAAAGTTTGGGAACCAATTTAAAATGAAGATCATAATATAGAGATGAAATTAATATATTCAAAAGTTTGAGGATTATTTAAAATAAAATTCATAATTTAATTACTTACTGAAATCAATTTTGTTTTGATTGCTTCTTAACTTGTTTGAATGAAATTATTCAGATATTGATGAATGCAAGGAGGAGTTTCCAAACCCTTGTGGGGATGTGAAGTGTATGAATAGGCCTGGCTCTTACGAATGTGAACGAAGAAAAACTTGGATCATTCCATTAGGTAATTATCTCCCAGAATATCTCTCTAGGCCATAATTTCACTTAATTTTCACATTAGATCTAGGAACAGAACGTATAATTTTATATTAAGGGTACATATTTAAAGTTATATTAAAATTTCAGGAGTACGAAATTATAAAATTTCAAGAGGTTCAAAATTATACATCGATAGATAGATGATGGTATACTTAATTATCGAAGTATTTTTCTTCTTCTCAGGAATGGGTGTTGGCTTGGGATCATTATGCTTATTCATGGGTGGGTGGTGGATATACAAATTTCTAAAAAAAAGAAGGAAAATCAGGTTGAAAAATAAGTTTTTTAAACGCAATGGTGGGTTATTATTACAACAACAAATGTTTGCAACAGAAGGTAGTTTAGAGAACACCAAGATATTTACTTCCAAGGAGTTGGATAAAGCCACTGATAATTTCAACAAGAATCGAGTGCTCGGCCAAGGTGGCCAAGGCACCGTATACAAGGGAATGCTCACCGATGGAAGAATCGTCGCCGTTAAAAGATCGACCGAAATGGTTGCGGAGAATGTTGAAGAGTTTATCAATGAAGTCGTCATTCTTTCTCAAATTAACCATAGGCATGTGGTTAAGCTATTAGGATGTTGTCTAGAGACTCAAGTTCCATTGCTGGTTTATGAATTTATCCCCAATGGAACAATTTTCCAGTACCTACATGACCAAAGTGAGGAATTCGTGATGTCGTGGGAGACACGGTTGAGAATTGCCAAAGAAAGTGCCGAAGCTCTATCGTATTTGCACTCGTCGGCCTCTGTTCCAATTTATCATCGGGATATCAAGTCGACTAACATCTTGTTGGATGAAAAATTTAAGGCGAAGGTCTCGGATTTCGGGATATCGAGATTGATTCCCAATGATCAAACTCACTTGACTACGAATGTGCAAGGGACATTCGGGTACTTAGATCCCAAGTACTTTCAATCGAGTCAATTCACGGAGAAAAGTGATGTCTATAGTTTCGGAGTCGTGCTCGTCGAGTTACTAACAGGTGAAAAGCCAGTTTCTTTCGAAAGGGATGAGAATCGTCGAGGTTTAGCCTCGTACTTCATCGATTCAATGGAAGAGAACCGAGTGTTCAACATTGTCAATGCTCGGGTTATGAGTGACGCAAAACCGGAAGCTGTAATGATGCTGGCTAAACTATCGTACCAGTGCTTGAGCTTGAATAGGAGGATACGACCGACAATGAAAGAAGTAAGCATTCAGCTGGAGCAGATTCTTTCGATGCAAAAGGGTTCAAATTTCGAGCAACACCGCCAGGAAGAGATGGAGTGTTTGAAAATGGATTTAGTTAGTAGCTCTCGTGATTCAACTTATTTTTCAACAGGTTCAACTTTTGATTCTGGAAATACATTTTCCAGAAAATTAGAGGCATTTCCTTCCTAGCAAAATAAACTAATTTTTCAGATTATTTATAATTTTATCAGGTATATTATATTATTCTTCTTGTTTAATGGTTTCAAAAGTTTTAAAACTTGTAAAAAAAAATTAATTCAACCCAAACCAGCCCAAACTGGACCCAGAATCCCTACCCAATAGTCTTCATCTCCTGCCCAAACCTGCACTTCCATTAAATTGTAAAACCACAACATGAAAATTATTATATAAAAACAAAAACGAAGAAAAAACACGACGAGGAGTCAGAAAGTCCCATGTTAAATCTATTTGAGGTATTTTTCGATGAAATTAATATTATATTTAAACTTACCTGTTAAATTTATTTAAGGTATTTTCTATGAAATAAATATTATATTTAAACCTACCTGATCGAGGAAAAGTTATTGAAAAATTTTAGAATTGAGTCGCTCTTTCATCATTGAACGTGTCACTTATAAATTCGTCACAGATATTAAGTCGTGTTTAAAGTATTATAAGTATAATCTATTTACGTATGAAAATAAATTATTTATTTTCACGCGCCGCCTCTACATATGGTTTTCTGTCACCGTTTGAAAACTCATGCCCGTGTCTACACCTGTACCCGTGCCCGTTTTAGCCAGGCCATGAACCAGGTTGCATGTTGGGCCTGCTTGCTTGGCCCAACTTGCTGGCTGAGTCTATTCTACTAGGGCACAGAATCATTGCCAGAACCGAAACCGAAACAAACCAGACTAGTCTAATCCAAATTGAGCCGATCTGATTCGAGTTGACCATTTTATATTTGACTTTGATTAGTGTTGATTTTTTGTTGACTTTAACCGGAACGTTTTTAAATGCACTGATTCCATATAATATAAATATGGGAATAAATTGTAATGTACCATTTAAAAATAAATATAATCTAAATAATTTAAAAATATTTCACACTCGTACTTGTTAATTTTAGATTGATTTTTTAATCTTTCCAGGTCTTTTTTAAAGAAGAGAGGAGTGATTGATTGAGTTTAGTTTAGTTTAATTGACATTGCCATTGGTGAATTTTATAGGTGAATGTGGATCCAATATATTTAAATAATCAGTCATTTTTAATTTATAAGTGGAGAGGGATTTGGATAGCATAAACATTATACCAAAACTATAAATAAAATAAAATAAAAGTTGAACCATGTAATTATAGAAATCAAGAATCAAAGTAATTGGCTAACTATTAATTCTCCACAATCAGGACAAAGAATTTCAAATTTCTTTCAAACTACACCTTTTTTTTTTGGGGAAAGAGTGTACTTTGTATTCATCAAAGAATTATACAAAGTACATCACATTACACATTTTCAATAGAGAAAATCGCCTCAGTGACCAAAAATGCCTTATAATATACGATTTTAACCAACTTTTTTTGGATTTGCCAAAATGACCAACAAAATCGCAACGCGAAATAAAAATCGTAACGCGATCCCCAGAATCGCAAATCAGTTTCCAAAATCGCAACGCGATTCTTGAAAATCGCAATGCGATAGTACAAATTCGCATTGCGATTTTCCAAAATCGCAACGCGAATATGAAAATCGCAACGCGAACACATAAATCGCAACGCGTATCCGTAAATCGCAACGTGTATCCGTAAATCGCAACGCGTATGGGTAAATCGCAATGCGTATCCGTATATCGCAACGCGTATCCGTAAATCGCAACGATAATACATAAAATCGCAACGCGTATCCGTAAATCGCAACGCGATATTTAAAGCGCCATTATAATCGCTACGCGTATTTTATTTTCAAATTACAAAAACGAATATTAAGACAAAATCCCGTAATCGCAACTCATAACCTAAAACCTAAAATCACAACTCAGTCCCATCTCCATCTCTCACTCTCTACGGCGAAGAAATCTGTCCCCATCTCCGAAGATTTCCGTCCCCATCTCCGGCGAAATCCCTCACAACCATTCACGGTCAGAAATCCCTCACAATATTCAGAAATGGAAAATCAACCTCCGAGGGTTAGTTTTTTTAATTATTTTTATTTTGAAATGTTTGCATTATTGTAGGTTTTTCATATTGAAACTGATGATAAGTTTACTGGTCATTTCATAATAGATTAACCATTTCACTTAGATTTCATTTCGCGTTACGATTCTGTCGTTGCGATTTTCATTTCGCGTTGCTATTCTCTCGTTGCGATTTTCAAGTTAGTATTTGTCTTTGTCTTTGTTCTGTCTTTTGGTTGAAGTAATGCAATCCATTCAAGTTTCAATTTGCAGAAGAGTCGCAACAAGATAAATGAAAATCGCAACGAGAGAATGACTGTCGCAACGAGAGAAATGAAAATCGCAACGAGAGAATCGCAACGCGAAATGAAAATCGCAACGAGAGAATCGCAACGCGAAACCAAAATCGCATTGCGATTTTCATTTCGCGTTGCGATTCTCTCGTTGCGATTTTCATTTCTCTCGTTGCGACAGTCATTCTCTCGTTGCGATTTTCATTTCAACCAAAAGACAAACAGTGTTGCAAATTTTAGTTTCAAGAATAAACTACTACTTTTTATGTTTATTGTTTTTGGTATATCTTCACAGTGTAGTTTTTGGTATATCTAACTTGGTATGTTTATTGTTTTTGTAGAAATTTTTTTCGGCTTCATTGACATTAAGGAATAAAGTTAGCCTAGCCACTACAATTGCTTCGAAGCTTTCACCTGCTCAAAGACAATTGTTTGAGGAAACCTGCTTCGGGCCATGGCTGAGAGTACAGCATCCGGGTGGAGATGCTAATTTGACCCATTTGTGGCTTCAGACCATGACATCAAATCTACCCGACAGTATACAACGTGGTGAGGAAGAGATATGGTTTCATTTTCCACCAGCGTATACTTGTTTTGGGCGGAAGGAGTTCTGCTTAATCACTGGTCTACGATTCGGACACGATGATGTAGGCCGGTACACTCGTCATATCGCCCGCCCATCATGGTTATCCCGGGTTTTTCCGGATGAGTCAATGGAGAAGCCGAACCTACACGTCGACGACCTGAAGAAATTGTTTAATAAGAAAGCTGGTTTCACTCGGATGGATGACGTCGATGTTGTCCGAGTATGCCTTCTACTACTTGTGTATGCCGGCTTTTTAGGCAGAGAGGCCAGACAACCTATTCCTCGGGAGCTAATAATATTGGTAGAGGACCTGAATGCATGGAATCTGTTTCCGTGGGTTCGTATATATGGAAAGCTACCTGACTAAGTTGTCTACTGCCTTTGATGACCGCAAAAGTTTGCGTGGCGATGGGTCGAAATACACTTTGTCAGGCTTTGTTTGGGCCTTTAAGGTAAGAATTTCTATATAATGTTTCTAAAATTATAATTAATTATTTAACAATTACTAATTTTGTTATTATATTGTTTGTAGATTTGGATATTCGAGGCTTTCCCCAGCATGCGTACATATGCAATAAAAACGTCAAATGATATTCCCAGGGCTATTTCCTGGAAGAGGAAAACTCTGTTGGATTGGGAAGACTTAATACCATATGCGACAATAAATAATGTAAGTTAACACAAATACTTTCATATAATATATAAACACGTTATTAATAGTAGACATTTAACTTTGTTTGAGTTTTTATATTTTAGGAGGCCAACATTCCATTACAAATACTGACACCCACGGAGGAAGAGCTTGCTACTGATTGCTGGCAAGCTAGTCAGAGTTTTTTTGATGGCACGGATGATGAGCAGCATCCACTTCCTCCAATTCGAGAGCCATCACCTCACCTAGAGCCATCACCCGATCGACCCGACTATACACCTCTAGAACGAGAGCCATCACCTATCCCGTCACATCATCGAGCCTCTTCTCCACCATCACCTCATGATAGGCGACCGGCAAAGATGCCACGACTCCTATCTCCCTGTTCTCCACCTCCACCTCCACGGGATGAGTCAAGAGAGTTACGTGATGAGGTCAATGCCTTGCGTGAGGAGATCGGTACTCTACGCGATAACGATGATGCATGGCGTGTGGAGGTGTCAACTTTACGTGGTGAGGTTGCCGCTCTACGTGAGATGATAGTATCGTTGCAGAATGAGGTTCATACTCTACGCAACGAGGTAAGTTTAAGATTTTCCATATTTAACTTAATGATAAATTTACTCGTAATTTCACTTAGATTAGCCATTTCACTTAGATTGCTTAGTAAATTTATTCGGTTGCTGCCAATTCTGCTAAACTGTGTATTCTTTAACACTGTGAAATAGTATTTGTCTTTGTTTTGTCTTTTGGTTGAAAGTAAATTTGTTCGGTTGCTGCCAATTCTGCTAAACTGTGTATTCTTTAACACTGTGAAATAGTATTTGTCTTTGTTTTGTCTTTTGGTTGAAAGTAAATTGTTCGGTTGCTGCCAATTCTGCTAAACTGTGTATTCTTTAACACTGTGAAATAGTATTTGTCTTTGTTTTGTCTTTTGGTTGAAAGTAAATTTGTTCGGTTGCTGCCAATTCTGCTAAACTGTGTATTCTTTAACACTGTGAAATAGTATTTGTCTTTGTTTTGTCTTTTGGTTGAAAGTAAATTTGTTCGATTGCTGCCAATTCTGCTAAACTGTGTATTCTTTAACACTGTGAAATAGTATTTGTCTTTGTTTTGTCTTTTGGTTGAAAGTAAATTTGTTCGGTTGCTGCTAATTCTGCTAAACTGTGTATTCTTTAACACTGTGAAATAGTATTTGTCTTTGTTTTGTCTTTTGGTTGAAAGTAAATTTGTTCGGTTGCTGCCAATTCTGCTAAACTGTGTATTCTTTAACACTGTGAAATAGTATTTGTCTTTGTTTTGTCTTTTGGTTGAAGTAATGCAATCCATTCAAGTTTCAATTTGCAGAAGAAGAAATAGTTTACTTTCGCAACACGAAACTTAAAATCGCAACGCGAAACCAAAATCGCAACGCGAAATGAAAATCGCAACGACAGAATCGCAACGCGAAACCAAAATCGCAACGACAAGATCGCAACGCGAAACCAAAATCGCATTGCGATTTTCATTTCGCGTT